AGTACATGAATGGAGTTGGTTGTACAGTGCAATTTTGCGTGACCCAAAACAGACGAAAGGGAAAAGGAGAGGTGTTCGTTTGATTGGAAACCTTGTGTTCGTACTAGTAATGCAATAATATATAATATTGTATTCATTGCATGCCGGTTTAGCTTCTCTCACCGCCATGTGAAAGTAATTTTTTATTCAGCTTTGCACGGTGGCTGCCTCAGGCCTCCGCCCAAAAAAGAGACTAGACCAGATTTACACAATCCTTTGGAATGACCACTATGAGCGAACCTTTTCATAGGGGTAGATGTTTTCTTTGATCCAAACGCTACCAAGGGAATTAAAACTATGGAATGGACATTCCATTCCTCAGGAAAAGTTTCAAAATCCTGTGAAGCGAACACATCCTAAGTCAGAAACAGGGGAACAGATCAGCTTGGTACAGTTCCTGCTACTAGGTGGGTGTGTTTGGTCAAAAATGCGTTTGGTTCGATCATGATGCGGCAGGACGGGCGGGATATGCACATCAATGAACCCCGGTGCGAAGGGAGTAGTATTCGGCAAACGCTGTTATACACATTCAGATTTCACTGTGAATAAATATTTCATACACAGAAACTCAACCTTACGCAAACATTCAGACAAATCTTCTTTTGCTAAATCCTGAGCGATAATATCTTTGTATCAAAGCAGTAGATGTGCATACACTATCCCTACAAGAACTAAGAGTAATGCACATAACCTTCAGGTTCCTTCAAAAATTCAGAGTACTGAGCAGGCTCCTGTAACTTGCCTTGCCAAGTTAGGACGCTAACATAGCCCATATCTACCGCACAAATCAGATCCGATGGCTCTCTTTTTTCCAGTACTACTCTTGCCGCTGTTGCCTCGCCCTCGATTCAGGCGGCCGCTGCCTCTCGCTGATCTATGCCGCCGCTGCCCCTCCCTTTATTCAGGCCACCGTTGGTCACCATCAAGGACAAGGGCGAGCTGGGTCGAGTTGATGGGTGCAGCGAGAGATAGGGCCGCACGGAGGACAGGGCATGGTTGGATGGTCTCGTGTGCAGAGGAGAACCAACAGGAGACGGAGGAACTCGGACGGCTGAGGAGGCGGCGAACTCACGGGGAAGAAGGTAGCGCAGCAACGTCATTGGACAGTGATGTCCTTCTGAATTTTTACTGCCTTCTCAAGCTATATATGGCGTAGGTGAATCTATCCTGAAACCTTCTTATTGGCACTTATTCAGTATCACAGGAACAAAACAATCCTATATATCTTTTGTCTGTATCACTGCTTGTGATTTCCCCAATCAAGAAGATTTATACACCAAATTTGGTTTGAGATCGTCGCTGATTTTGATTGGCCCGTGGAGAAGCTGATCTATCTAGGAAGTAAAAAAGGATCTTCCAGAAACTAAATAAGTTGAACAAAATAAAAGGTTTCATATTTCCCGTACAACTTGAAGGTCTAAAAAAGTTCAACAATTGGAAGTCTACAGAAGTTCAACAAAATAATGATTCTGATGTTCTCCAAAGCATCATGATTAGAATATATCCTTAGTATATATGCCTCCAGTGGAGGCTCTGGCACTAGGCATATTCAGTAATTCAGTGGAGTTTGTAATGTGCTCATATCCACGCAAGTCTTCCTCATTCAGAGTTTTCACCGTTGAATGATTTTCTTTTGTCTTGAACTCTGTTTTCTTTCTTTTGTACTGCCTTTCAGTCCAATTTTTCCTTCTTTTGGAATTTTTGGCTGCCTTGTTAACTTCCTTCTTTTTTAGGCGCAGCAGCAGCCAACAAATCAGTTGTTGCTGGAGGAGTCACTTTGGCATTCAACAAATCGTCTGATGCTGGCGGAGGCACTTCCGCATTCAACAACCATCGTTTCACTTACTAAGGTTATCGAGTGTATTGTCGATCAAAGTACACATTCTTCAGAATGTGATGCTTCAGTTGCCAAGTTATTAAATTTGTGTGATAGGCTATTGTGGCGGAGAACTGCCTCTATATTTGGATCTGCAATCACAATCCTTCCATGACTATCCTTAACAGATCCTGCTCATGCTTCTTGGGTCCATCGCTTCAAAATATAGTGTGATGGAAGCAACTTAATGCTCATCATGTCAAGAACTTTTAAAGCATGTGCACACAATATCCCTAGTCTATCAAACTGATCACAAGTGCATGATGGTGTTTGTTCCAAAGGGTTACCAGTAACTTCCCATTATTCTTCAAATATTGGATGCTCAAAAGGATATCCAATTTTAACCATGTATTTGTATTGTCCATCTAGTGCTTCGGCGCATGCTGATATAGATCTCCGGTATTCCTTTTGAAAAAAATCAAATATAGTAGGAGTATAAAGTGGGCCAACATGCATCAACATTGGGGTCTTCATTTTGATTCTTGGCAAGTACTTCCTGGAATCAAACTCTGAATTGACCTCAACATCTCTTTTTTACTTTGACAGCTCTTTCGAAGTGCTCAAAGAACCGGACAACGTCTAAATCTGACTTCAGATGATGCTTCAAGTCATTGTTGAGACTCTCACTTAGCTGCGTGCTCTACATACCCAAGGTAAATGCATTTATCATGAAACATTTTTCCCACTTCTCTTTTACTTTGTAAATACTACCGAACCAAGTTTGTGCTGGCACTTGAGCCCTCAGATTTTCAAATGCTTCCTCAAATTCTTCTTGGTGCCCATGTTGATACATGCAAGCACTGAAATCTGCAACAAGAGTTGATTCTTTGTCCATATAACTAGATAAATGTGTACATAATCCATGTCGTGATTCAAGAAAACATACCCAACTGTCTTTCCCATTGCACAATCTTCATCCAGTATATATGGTTCTAGGATGCTTCTCACTATGTACTAATAAGAAAGAATCAAACAAGCATTTGAAAGATTCAAATGTCTCATCATAGAGGAGAGAAGCACCGAAGATAACAGTTTCTCTAAAATGATTGAATCCAACGAACACACCAAATGGCCTATGTTCCTTATTTGCTCCAAAAGTGGTGTCAAAGGTCATGACATCGCCAAAATGAGCTTAATCAATTATCACCTTAGCATCAGCCCAAAAAATGTTTGTTATTTTTCATCACAGTCCAGTTGTAAAACATATTTGAATGCTGGATTCTATGCAGCTCTGTCTTGAAAATACTTCAACATGCTACCCGCTTCACCATACTTAAGGTCCCTTTGGCGCTTTGTTCTCAAATGATTCTTGTGATCCCGAGGAGTGTACCTCAGGTTAGATGATCCGTCAACCCGTCAACTAGCAAACTCATGAGCAGCTTTTAGTGCAATACCAGAGTCATCAGCACATTCAATTTCAAAAGCCTGCACTTCAGAGATAATTCTCTTTCATAGCAATAGGTGGCATGCTTCTGGCAATTGAAGTGTGTGATTGTGTTCAAGAAAAAGATCAGATATTGCCCAGTTACCAGCTTCACGATTTATTGAAAGGGTCATACGAACTCTACAGTCAATTCTAGTCTCAGCTGTTGGATTCTTAACAACATTATATCTTTTGTCTACTGCCTTTTTACCCACTTTGAAACAAACATATTTGCAGGAGGTAACTTTCCCATCAAATTTGCTTCTGTTTTTATACCTTTTTCTGATGCTGAACCCCATCCTTCCTCCGTAATATCCCCAAAATTTCCAAGCCTCATCTAGGGTGTTGAACTTCATGCCAAGCTGCGGTATCCAAGTGGGCAATACATTCTCTGTAGAATGCACAAGTGCAGAAAATAGGGTCACTCATTTGCAAGAAAAGAGAGGAATCCAGCACAAAATTGAAAATGTTATTCTCACTTGTTTGAATCTGCTTCTGCTTGGTTCTCCATCGCGCATGTTTGAATCTGCCACTTGTTTGAATCTGCAGAAAATAGGGTCATCGCGCATGAAACATGACATGGTTTTAGTTCAAATTTGAACTAAAACCACGCCATGTGTTTCCAAACGGAGGTAATAGTACACAAGCATATGTAGAAGCTTTACAAATTAGTCGCTGGTCCAGTACAGAACAGGCTAGGACATTTCATTTGATCCTGATGTTTCTAAGAGAGTGGCTAGTTTTTATTTAGTTATCAAAATACCCCAGTGACTTCATTGAAGAATCAACACTACTTGGAAAGAACTGAACACAACACATTGAATCAGAAGGCAGTATCAAACGAAAATACTTCATCCTCAATTCATTCTAATAATGCGCAATCTCTAACCATAGGTGGGAGAGAGGATCAGGCATGTACTTTCACCTCCTTTCTTGCCGGATTCTTATCCTCCTCATCTAACCCACGCCGGATTCTTGTCCTCCTTCTCCGCCGGCTTCTTAGAGCAGGGAGCAGGGGTGGTGCCTAGGGAGATAGAAAGGCAGCACACACCGGGACGAGCAAGTTACGGGGGGGTGCGGGGACCAGGGGTGGCGCCAGTGGCGTGCCCTATCTGCTGACAACCAATTCGCTTCGTTGTGATTCCCTACTGTTAGCAGGCTGCATGGAACTGCATCTCTCATAGAGAAAACAAAGAGACGCTAGAGAGTGCCCTGATGATCTGAGGAGTTAGTACGCAAGTAAAATTAGTAAAAGGAACAAGAGCCAAAAAAAATATTTTCATATCTTCTTTTCTCTGACAAGCAGATTTAACATATCTTTGAATGCTTCTCAACAAATACTTCAACAAAGTTCTAGAGATAATAGAGGAATAATAATTCATTGTTTAAACATGTCGCCCGCCAGGCAACTTTACTAGTTTATAAACTTGGAAGAGTAATACATATAGGAAGGAATGCACAAGTTACATCCATGTTGATCTGGCTGCTGCAAAGTAGAAAGGGACAGGCTGACAGCTTATTTTATCCCTTAAACTTTAGGGCTTGTTCGGTTCAGTTTGCTGGAGATTGCAAGGGGTTGAGCGGAATGAAATCCACAAGCCAAAACCCCACTAAATCCCCTCCCATCACCTTGGGCAGAGGATTAACCGAAGCCTTGGTGACTTAAAGAACACACTGGATGCCGGCATAGCTGATAAATGACTTGTGCTTGATCATTTGGAGTTCAGATGATCCTCTGTGGACTACCTCCACACCGGTAAGCACAGCCGCTGTGTTGCTGGGATTACCCTGAGCGTCTTGCTCCCCGGTGTCAAAACTTTTGAAGATGCAAAACCTGCCGGCTCCAAGGTACAGCAGGCTACCCCTTATCTGCACCCATCCATGAGGCGTGTCGAGGACCTGCCAGTTATGCAGCAACTTGGGAGCCCTGCCAAGGTTGGAGAGGTCCAGCGTGCACAAGTTGTTGGCGCTGTTGCCGGCCATGCCGAACCAGAGATTGCAAAGCTCAGGGACATGCTCAGCCTGTCCATGGAATGGCAGGGTCCAGCGGCCAACCTTTTCCCAGGTGCAGCTAACCGTATCAAAGCAGTAGGTGCCGATGGAGCTTGGCCCAGCGGAGGATATGCAGATGGTCGAGCCATCACCAAGCAACATGTAGGACTGGATGGCTGTGCAGTTATAGGCTGGGTTGTTGACGTAGGGCGGCCGAGGGAGCCGGTGCCACTCCCAGCTATTCTTGCCGTAGATGAGGGCTTCGAAGATGAAAGCATTGCGAGCTGCGGGAAACCTGTCCATAACGTACAAGGCTTGATGGGAGGTGTCCGCACGAGTGATAGACAAGGAGACGGGGCTGTCCCCCTTGGGTTCGTTAAGGCAGGGAACGGGCTGGATGGAGCCGCTGACGGCGTTGCAGAGGACGGTGTTGCCCGCCGAGTCCATTGAGAGGATCTTACCATCGCCCCTGCCTTGTCCGTAGAAGGGCAAAAAATCGAGCCTTGGGCCGTCTAAGCGGTATGCTTCCAATCTGAGCCTGGGCGGAGGCATCCGCGAGATGTTCTCCGTCCATGGTGGCGCCACGGCTGATGATGGCAGCGTCGTATTCCCCTCCTTGGGTTGCGCTGCTGCTGCCGCCGCCCGTGCTTCCGCCGTGGACCGGTAGAAGAGTTGCTCCCCGGCCTTGATGCGGCTCACCGTGTACAAGCTGCCACTGCCAGACCTCTGCATCACCACATTCAAGAACTGCCGCGCCTTCATTTTGATTCTCCCAACTCCTACAAAACAGAGACCACGAATTACTCCTAGATTATAGTAGTATTTGATCTTCTCCTGATGTTACAAAAGATATACTTCCACAATACCTGCAACAGAACTTATTCCGTCGGACTAATTGAAGCTGGCGTTGTTGGATGAGCGGCGGCGGCGGCGGCGGGATGGGGATGGGGAGTGCGATCTAGGTCTAGCCGTCATGCCTTTTTCTCTCCTCTTCTTATGTGGATGGATAACCCACAGGCCACGGCTCGGCTGGGCCACATTACCATGATGGCTAACCGATCCGTGACTGCGCGAGAGCTATATCTCGCTTAGTGCGAGACTAGATTCTGTCTCGCTAAAGGATTATCCATGCTATGTACTCCCTCCGTTTCTAAATATAAGTATTTTTATAGATTCCAATATGGGCTACATACAGAGCAAAATCAGTGAATCTATACTCTAAACTATATCTATATACATTCGCGTGTAGTTCATATAGAAATCTTTAGAAAGACTTATATTTATAAACGGAGGGAGTACAGTAATATAGGACGACACATTTCTGCGCGCTCGCGACTAGCTCACTCAGGCAACGCTCTCTGCGTTTTGCTCGTGCTTTTATTTTTATTTTTTTCGTCCGTTTTGTTGCTTCACGAGTTTTTTTTGTTTTTTGTTTCTCCATTGTCTTTCATTATATTCTTTGTTTTATTCTTTTTTATTGGTTTACATTTCTTATTTGGCTTTTCTTTTGTTCCTTTCTCCGTTTTATTGGTTTTTTCTATTCTATTTTCTACCTTCTTTCTTTCTTAGTTTTCTTCGTTTCTCTTTCATTTTTTTCTTCTTCATTTTCTCATGGGTTTCTTTGGGATTTATTTTGAGTTCTCTTTTGTTTCGTTCTTCCATTTCTTTGGTTTTCATTGCTTTAATTTGTTTTTCAACCATGTCCACATTTTCATGCGCATTGGTACATTTTACGTATACATCATGACATTTTTTATTATTTTTAAATAGATTATTAACATTTTTAAACAATTGTGGTTGATGACTACTTTTTCATGCACATTGTACACTTATGGTATACATCAGGAATAATTTTTAATACATGTTTAACATTTTATAAATATAGGAATAAAAAAATTATAAATGATCAACATTTTTAAATTTTAGTTTCTGTGTTCAAATTTTTTGTATACATCAGGAATATTTCAAATTTAAACTTTTTGAAATAGAAGATTAGCATTTTTTTCCATTATTTGTGTTTGGTTACTACTTTCTTCATACACATTGTATTCGGTATATGTAAGGAACATTTTTTATGTAAGGTAAACATTTTTGAAATATTTAATTAAAAAAATTTAATAGATGATTAAAAAATTTAAAAAAATTATCTTCAATTTTTAGTACACATTATATATTTTTGGTCTACATCAGGAACATTTTTTATATATGTTTAACAATTTTTAAATATATGATTAATATTTTTTTAAGTCTTGATTAGCATTTTAAATACATAATCAATTTTTTCATACACCTTGTTTTTATACATTTTTCGCATATATGATAACAAATTTAAACACATTTTTGATTTTACAAATGCTAGATTAACATTTTTTTCAAACGTTTTATGTAGAGTGTTTTTTCTAATATATGTATGTTGAGTATTTGGATGTATAAATAGAAGTGCGAAAAAAGTAAAAAAAAATGAAAACAGAAAATCTAAAGAAAAAAAACGAGGTTGTGGCCTCGCGCGCGCCTGGGCCGGACCATCTCGTGCCTCCTTTTCAGGAGCAGCCCGACGCATACACATTCAGCTTATTGGGCCAGCCCAACAGCGGGAGGGCGTTGTGCAAAAATTGGAGGAAAGAAGTATAGTTTTTTAGAAGAAAATAGATTACTGAAAAAAAAATTAAAAGTTTAAGTGAAAAGGTGTATTTTCGTTGATGTTGTGTTCACGTATATATATGGCCTAAACAAATGCTTACAATGTTAGATACAATTGATTCACGTCATTTCGGAATAGACGACAATTCACTATGTAGTGCGTCTGGACAACGCTAATATTTTAACTGATAGTTAGGATATTTTAAGGAATCTACTAACCGCCTAATTGGCCTAACACATGCAACATCTAAAGGAAATATGCTCTAGGGGCAATAAAAAAATTTGTTATTTTATATTTCTTTATTCATGATAAAGGTTTATTATTCATGCTATAATTGTATTGATCGGAAACTTAAATACATGTGTGAATACATAAACAAGTACTATATCCCTAATAAGCCTTTACTGGACTAGCTTGTTAATCAAAGATGGTTAAGGTTTCCTAATCATAGACATGTGTTGTCATTTGATAACGGGATCACATCATTAGGAGAATGATGTGATGGACAATACCCATCCGTTAGCTTAGCATATTAATCGTTCAGTTTATTGCTATTGCTTTCTTGATGACAAATACATATTTCTTCGACTATGAGATTATGCAACTCCCGAATATTGAAGGAATACCTTGTGTGCTATCAAACGTCACAATGTAACTTGGTGATCATAAAGATGCTCTACAGGTATCTCTGAAGGTGTTTGTTGAGTTGGCATAGGTCGAGATTAGGATTTGTCACTCCAAGTATCGGAGAGGTATCTCTAGGCCATCTCGGTAATACACATCATAAGAAGCCTTGGAAGCAAAGTGACTAAGGTGTTGCAAGATGATGTATTACGGAACGAGTAAAGAGACTTTTCGGTAACGACATTGAACTAGGTATGAAGATACCGATGATCGAATCTCGGGCAAGTAGCATACCGATGGACAAAGGGAATTACGTATATTGTCATAAGGTTCGACAGATAAAGATCTTCGTACAATATGTAGGAGCCAATATGGGCATCCAGGTTCCGCTATTGGTTATTGACCGGAGAGGTGTCTCGGTCATGTCTACATAGTTCTTAGAACGGCGGTAGCATTATAAGATGATCCCTTCACTAAATTTTAAGATAAAAGTGTTCTCCCCGAGTATGCACCATTGCCAAAGTTCGTCGTTTTGAAGCACCTCGTGAAGATCGGGGGTGATAGACTCTACGTTTACATACAACGGGTGTAAAACAGTTTTGCACATGCAGAATACTTGGGTTAAACTTGACGAGCCTAGCATATACAGACATGGTCTCGGAACACTGGAGACCGAAAGGTCGAACATGAGTCATATAGTAGATATGAATGATGTCTACTACACAACCTTCTTCTTGTAGACGTTGTTGGGCCTCCAAGTGCAGAGGTTTGTAGGACAATAGCAAATTTCCCTCAAGTGGATGACCTAAGGTTTATCAATCCGTGGGAGGCGTAGGATGAAGATGGTCTCTCTCAAACAACCCTGCAACCAGATAACGAAGAGTCTCTTGTGTCCCCAACACACCCAATACAATGGTAAATTGTATAGGTGAACTAGTTCGGTGAAGAGATGGTGATACAAGTGCAATATAGATAGTAGATATAGGTTTTTATAATCTGAAAATATAAAAAGAACAAGGTAACTAATGGTAAAAGTGAGCGTAAACGGTATTGCAATGGTAGGAAACAAGGCATAGGGTTCGTACTTTCACTAGTGCAAGTTCTCTCAACAATAATAACATAGATAGATCATATAACAATCCCTCATCATGCAACAAAGAGTCACTCCAAAGCCACTAATAGCAGAGAACAAACAAAGAGATTATGGTAGGGTACGAAACCACCTCGAAGTTATCCTTTCTGTTCTATCTATTCAAGAGTTCGTAGTAAAATAACATGAAGCTATTCTTTCCGCTCAATCCATCATAGAGTTCATACTAGAATAACACCTTAAGACACAAATCAACCAAAACCCTAATGTCACCTAGATACTCCATTGTCACCTCAAGTATCCGTGGGCATGATTATACGATATGCATCAACAATCTCAGATTCATCCAACCAACACAAAGTACTTCAAAGAGTGCCCCAAAGTTTCTACCGGAGAGTCAAGACTAAAACGTGTGCCAACCCCTATGCATAGGTTCATGGGGGGAACCCGCAAGTTGGTCACCAAAACATACATCAAGTGGCACGTGAAATCCCATTGTCACCACAGATAAACACGGCAAGACATACATCAAGTGTTCTTAAATCCTTAAAGACTCAATCCGATAAGATAACTTCAAAAGGAAAACTCAATCCATTACAAGAGAGTAGAGGGGGAGAAACATCATAAGATCCAACTATAATAGCAAAGCTCGTGATACATCAAGATCGTGTGAAGTTGAGAACACGAGAGAGAGAGAGAGATCAAACACATAGCTACTGGTACATAGCCTCAGCCCCGAGGGTGAACTACTCCCTCCTCGTCATGGAGAGCGCCGGGATGATGAAGATGGCCACCGGTGATGGGTTCCCCCTCCGGCAGGGTGCCGGAACGGGCTCCCGAGAGGTTTTTGGTGGCTACAGAGGCTTGCGGCGGCGGAACTCCCGATCTATCTTGATATTCGATGTGTTTAGGGTAGGTAGGCTTATATAGGCGAAAGAAGTCGGTCGGGGAAGCCTCAAGGGGCCCACGAGAGGGTAGGGCGCGCCCAGGGGGGTGGGCACGCCCCCTATCCCGTGGCCTCCTCGATGATCTTCTGACGTGAACTCCAAGTCTCCCAGATCATATTCTTCCTAAAAATCACGCTCCCGAAGGTTTCATTCCGTTTGGACTCCGTTTGATATTCCTTTTCTTCAAAATACTGAAACAGGCAATAAAACAGCAATATGGGCTGGGCCTCCGGTTAATAGGTTAGTCCCAAAAGTAATATAAAAGTGCATAATAAAGCCCGTAAACATTCAAAACACATAATAATATAGCATGAATGCTTCATAAATTATAGATACGTTGGAGACATATCAGCATCCCCAAACTTAATTCGTGCTCGTCCTCGAGTAGGTAAATGATAAAAGAAAGAATTTATGAAGTGTGAATGCTAGAAGGTGCACAAGTTTGATCAATGATAATTTC